AATGGGAAGTGATTTCAGCTCTGGTTCCCTAAGCTGACTTCCTGTCCCTTTCTTGTTGTAGGAGAAACGCCCCTGTCAGTAGGCCACACTCATGGCATGTGGCCAAGCTGCTAGAAGGATGCCCTGAAGTGGCTACCACCATGCATGTCCCTTCTGAAGCCTTTAGTTTGTCCTGGCATTCTGGTTGCAACACAAGGTGAGTCTGGAACCCTCCTGTCAACATGGTCACTCCTTCTCCTCTGTTCTAGTCTCTGTTGGATGCTATAGAACCCAGAGTGCTATAACCAAAAATAGAGTGGGAGTCCAGAGTACCTAGATTCTAGTCCTAGTCTCCTGCTCAGTCTCTGTGACTTTGGGCCAGTCTCATTCTCTCTGGAAAATGTTTCCTTGAAATAGTTACCTCACTTGGCTTGCAGGACACCACCTTCTCCTGCTTTTCATCTCATTTTACTGGCTGCTCCTTTGTGGTCTCTTTCTATGGTTTCTCCTCATCCCCGTGGTCTCTTAATATAGGAGGGGTCCCAGGGCTCAGTTCTGGTCCTTTTCTCTGTCTACACTGACTCACTGGCAATCTCATCCAGTGATCATTAGCTCTGTCACAGAGCCAAAGCCTTCAGAATGGGAGCTTCTTGAATAACAGGGTCTACTTGCAGTGAAGATCTCTCAGTGCAGGGAGTGTGATATTGTCTATTGTTGAAACAACTGCCCAGAAGAGGCATACAACTTTTTCAGCAAGCTTTGCTGTCTTTTTCCTTCCACAGCAAGATCTTACCTCCAAGAAGGGATTTCTGTTGAGGCCCAGGGAAGCTAAGAGTTGAGTTTGTCCCCAGTGTGTGACTTTATTTGGCATTGGAAGCCAGGGGCTCAGGGCAGAGGCAGAGGCAATTTTGTTCTGGAAGAATGCACAGAAACACATTTGAGCTTGGTTCCTGCTGGAGTTGGGGTGTAGTTGTTTTCAGCAAGAAGGGTGGTGGGATGGATAGCAGGTCCCTTTGCCAATAAGGAATCGATGGATTCCCATCCCAGAGGTAAAGTGAGTAGAGTGGCAAAGGGCCAGTGTAGGGAGCAAGAATTAGGGGAAACTGACCTGAGAGTCTCATGGGCTCCTGCCACTGCTCAGCTCTGGCTTTCTGAACTGTGGCTTTTCTGAGAGCAGCCTGCAACCTCTGGGTTTCTAGTCATAGGGAGTTACTGGCATGACTTGGCTCAGTTTGGCTTTGTGCGTTGGAAGTGGTACTTAAAATTCAAGATTGTTTCTAATCTTAGTCTCTTCCTTGGTCTCCCCAGTTTGGCTTTACCATAGGGGATGAGGGTGGCATGGGTGGGCAAGGACAATTCTAGAATCAATACTACTAGTAGAGAGGATTCTGATAACAATATCAATGGAAACAACAATCAAGAGAGCAGCACCTACCATGTTTTGAACATCTAGGTGCCTGAGCTGTAACAAGAGCTTTACTATTATTATCTGATTTCACCCACGAAGCAACCCTCTGATGCAGATATTACTATTATTCCCATTTAACAGATGGTACAGCAGAAGAGCTAAGACATTGGACTTACAGAGGCCTGGGTTCAAATTCCAGCTCTGCTTTTTCAGCAGCTTTGTGAAGTTGTCAGTTTACTTGACCTCTCAAAGCTTTAGTTTTCTCAGTTGTAAAGTGGAGATAATAATTTTTCCCCTTAGGTTTGAAATGAGATACTCTAAAATGCCTGGCATATCGTAGGTCCTTGGTAAATGGTCAGCATTACTATTATCAAGAAAAGGATAGGGGACGCTTAAATTCCATCTCTATCTGAGTCACGACCTAGAACTGGGCAATCTTGAAAAAATTACCTCCTCAAAGTTACTTTCTTTGCACTGCTTGCTTTACACCAGTATTTCTCAAAATTGTGATCCCTGAACCAACAGCACCAGTATTACCCAGCAACTTGTTAGAAGTAAAAATTATCAGAATTCACACAGACATAAAACTCTGGGGATGAGGCCAGTAACCTGTGTTTTGACAAGTTCTCCAAGAGATTTCTGGTGCACATTCAAATTCAAAAACCATTGATTTACAAAATGGGCTGACTATAATTCAATCAGCCCTTTAAGGCCCCTCTCTAATGCTAATAGTCTGTGATTGTCTCTCCTGGCAGAGAGCCGCATGCTGACTCCCCTGGGGTCAGCAAGAGACCAGATGCAATTGTAGACTCGCTGATGGCAGATAAATAGAATATAGCCCCTAATGGAGTCCTCATACTTTTAGTCTTTGGGATCTCATCCCATCCTTCTTCCATATGCCATTTTGTCTCCCATTTTACCACGTCACTGTGGTGCCCCAGTGTCCATC